GGAGTCCAGAGCCCCGTTGATGGCTTGGCTGCCTGCTGAGAGCAGGGGGTGAGGTTGGGTTTTAGATCCCAGCCCTTCAGGCCTGTCTCCCGAGTAAGGAATGGGCAGAAGCACGATGATGTGCTGCCAGAGTGAGTGGGCAGACGCCCTTGGCCATGGCAGGGCTTCCCTGTCTCTGTGTGCTCTGGCTCATTGCTCTTTGCCTACAACTGCAGCCATGTCCTGGGGCCCTGGGAGTCACCTCCTGGCTGGGAGCCGCCTCGCTTGTGGTTCTGGTGCTGGAAGCCCAGGGTTTTTGCTTCAAGGCCGTTGGTCTGATTCCAGCCACGTGGGCAGCACCCCAGCACCATCCCTTTCACTGGCATTTCAGTGGCCTGCATGAAACAAGGGACCCTATCCTGCTCCTGCCCAGACTGGCTCTCCTCTGGGATAGGCTTTTCATCTGGCCTCATCCAGCATCGCCAAGCGAGTGTCAGCGTCTGGCTGGCTAGTGCTTCTTACGCCAGCGTGGGCATCTCCTTGGCTGATTTCTTCCTAGCTCTGGGTCCATTACAGTCCTGTTGGGGGCACTGATGGGGGAGCATGGAGCAGCCACCCAAGGGGATTGGGCTGAGTGGAAGTAATGCTGGGCCTCCCGCCCCCTCCCCGCAGAAGCTGGGCCTCTCGTGTCTAGACCCCAAGCGCAAGGAGGTGGTGGAGCAGTTGCAGCTCAGCCTGACGGTGCTGGCGGGGGCCATCGAGCGGGCCATGGGTGCGGCGGAGAAGCTTGGAGCCGTCCATCAGGTTGGTTCATAGGGGCACAGACCCCTGCGTGGGGACACTGGAGCCTCAGGGTGGGAGGGGGCTGCTGCCCTGTGGCAGGTGGTGGAAACCCCATCAGGTGGGGACCAGTGCTACTTTGCCCTGGAGGAGTAGTTTGAGGCCTGATGGGTCTTTCCCATCCCTTTCTCCACCCAACATACTATGCTGCTGGGGGACAATGCCACAGCCCGAGAGGACCCATTGCTTTGGTGGGCTCCATGGGCCCCTGTCCTCACCAGCCAGCATGCCGGTCCACCAAGCCTCCTAGCAACAGTTCCAGCTCCTTGTCTACTAGTGGTGTACCTGCCACCCCTCTGTCCAGCTAGCTTCCCTCCTGTCCCCTGTCCCCGCTACCACCTGGACCCTTGTATTCCTGCCACTTACTCCTGGGCCTGGTTAACCTGCCCTATGGAGATGCTCAAGTCTTCTAAGTACAAATGCAGCCAGGGGCGTACGTGTCGGGTGAGGTGACGGGCTTGGGCTCAGGGATGTCTTATCCCATGTGTGAGAGGAGGGAGAGCAAGCACTTTCTGGAGGTCTTTGGATTGTTTGATCGAAGCCCCTTTGGGCTGGGCTGCTTGCTTCAGAAGGGTCTGCTCCTGCTGCCATTAGCCATGGCAAGTGGTGGATCCTTACATGATCCCAGACACCATGGTGGGCACAGTGTAAGCACCTGAGTAGGACAGAGGGGAGCCCTGCCTGTGCCCCCAGTGTGACACCCCCCCCCACACATGCATTTTCTCTGTGGCAGGAGGCACGGATGAGCCGGGCGACGGACGTGATGGTGCAGCATGTGGAGAACCTGAAGAGGCATCACTTGCGGGAGCACACGGAGCTGGAGGAGATGAAGCGGCTGATCCAGCAGAACTCCCGCAACCGGCAGCTGGCCGAGAACAGGGGTGAGGTGGGCGCAGCAGCCAGGGGTGCGGAGATGTGGAAGGGGCCCGGCACTCAGCAGGTGCGGTGATCAGAGAGCAGGGTCGGGAGTCGCCACGGCTGGATCCTGTCCCTGGCTCCATCACTGGGAAGCCTGGGGCAGGGTCCTGAACTGTGTGTAAGGCCTGTGAGTTGGCTCCAGCCCTGGAGACATGTTAAAGTCCAGGGGATTTGCTTGTCCTTGTCCCCATCCAGTGACTCCAAGGGTATGGCTGTGAGGGGGCTGTAGTCAGGGCATAAATGCCCTGGGGAAATTTTGGAGCAGACTTGCTCTGCCCACAGGTGCTGGTGATGCCCTCCCTGCAGCAAGGGCATAGCTGGGAATGCAGAGAGCGGTGTGTGCACTCCAGGATGCCTGTTTCAAGGCATAGATGTGTCTCTGAGGCTCTGTGGGTCTTTGGTCCTGCTCCCCATGCCATGACCCAGGAGACCTTGGGGGTTTCCCAGCTGAACTGCCATTTTCTTCGTTAGATACCTGAGCTATGATGGTCAAAGCAACTGGGCTTATGGGATGCCAGCCCAGTCTTGTCCTCTGCTCCAGCTGTGCTGGAGTGAGGGCAGGGCTTGGGGAAGGGCTGTGCAGCCTGGGGAACAAAGCAGCAGGCTGGGCTGGATGGCTGGGGAGGGGGGCAGTAAGGGGCTGGTTGCTCTGCATGTGAGAAGAAGTCAGTCCCTACATAGAGCAATCCCCTCTCCTTGTTCCCTCAGATGATGCAGAGCAGAGGCTGAGGCATCCCCTGATGAGGACGTTCCAGCAGGTGAGGGAGAGCCGGCCCCTTCCCCAGCTGTGTAGCCCAACCCTGCATCCACCAAGCCTTGCTAGACCATAGACCTCAGGCAGGTCCTCTGCATTGCAGGGTCAGGGAGCAAGAGGCAGAGGGACTTGGCCCCAGAGGAGGCTGCTCTTTAGTGTCAGTTCGAATACAGCAGCGATTCCCCTGCAGCCCACAAGGTAGGGGACGGGGTGGGGGAGCTGGTAGGCACTGGGTCAGGCCCATTGTGGGGTCCGAGCGGGGCTGTCACAGGCCCCTGGTGAAATCTGAGATTCCCGGCACATGGGCCGCTGTGGGGGTGAGGCAGCAGGGACTTCCAGGCCTCGGTCTTCATATCCTGTCCGGTAGAGACAGAGCTTTGTCCCCTTGTTGCACCAGAAAATCCTGTTAATGCCCCATCTAGAGCCCAGGGAAGGCTCTTCCGGCCCCATGGCACTGGTGTGAGCAGCATCCCACCCCATGCTACAGCATGCAGGGCAGAGGTGAGGGGCGAGAGGCAGGGCAGGAGGATGGCAGGGCCCTCATAGACTATGGGCAGGGAGTGAAAAGCTGGGAGCAGTGGGGAGAGGGGCTCTGCTCTCACCAAGTGCTCTCCTTTGTGTCCCAGGTGTCAGCTCGCCGCAGAGTCAGCATTGCTGTCATCCCCAAGCAGCTGCTGGTAAGGAATGCAGTCAGACACGTGGCACAGGTGCACAGTGTGTCTGTGTCTTGTACAGCCCCCACGCTGGTTCCTGGGCTCTGCTACATGCACACACAGTGCTCTGGGCACCGGGTTTCTCTCCTGCTCTTTTGTTTCACTCATGCCCTCCCTTGGTTTTTGCAGCACGTTCAAAGCCAAGAAAGCGGGCAAGCACCCAAGGATGAGGCAGGGAAGCTGGCAGGGGAGAGCACCCTGAGTGCAGAGAGGTAACGTGACCCTCCCACAGAGCCCCGGGGAGATGGAAAGGATGGACCCTGCCACTCCACCGTGGGGAAGGGAGGCAGAGGCACATCAGCTCAGGGTATGACTGCTTCCTTTCTGCTGTGCAGGCAACACTGCTGCCTCCAGGAGGACTCCACCGATGAGTGCTTCATCCTGCACGTCAGCCCCTCCAGCTCCTTACATCAAAGCCTGCAGGGCACGGATAGCGCTCAGCCCCAGGGGGCAGAAGCCCCCTGTGCAGAAGGGTAAGGATGTATTGAGTGCTCCATTGGGCTGCACCCCTGGGGCCAGCTGGGGCAGGTGCAGTTTTCCCTATATCAGACAGTGCTGCTCATCCAGGGTGCTTAGGGCAGGGGGCACTGCTGTTGACAGACCCCTGCTGCATCTTCCTCCCCAGGAGTGAGCCTGAGCTGCGGAGAAGGAGAAGTGCTGTCAAGAGCATGAAGCAGGAGCCCAGCAAGGAGTCGGACAGTGGGGGACTGAGCGAGGAGAGCGAGGAGCTGGAGCAGCTCAGTCTGATGTGAGCTAACTGCCTCGTCCTCACATGGGACCCTGGGCTGTGTTGGAGCCATGGGTGACATGTGCTCCAGCCCCTTCCCTCATAGGCAGCCACCTCTGGGCAGGGGTGCAGCTGCTGGTGGCTAGTCGCACAGCAGCACGTGGTGAGGAAGGGAACGTGGTATCCCTTGGAAGCTGGAGAATCCAGTTATCCAGTGGCCAGGTCAAGGCCAGCCAGGCTAGCCTATGCGTGGCTCTGGCATGCTCATTTCTGTAGCCAACAGCACCCATGGGAGAGATGGAGCTGGTGCACATCTGGCTACCTTTGCTTCATTGAACCCTGCAGCGTCCATCTCCTCCCCAGGCTCTTACATGCCTTATCCCAGGTCTACAGGGTTGTTGGTTGTAGCCGTGTTGGTCTAAGGGCATAGGCAGGCAAGGTTCTTTGGGTAGAGATATCACATTATCCCAGGTCTCGCATCTCTCTGGCATGGTTTAAAGCTCCTTGGGACAGGGACCCTGTTTTTAAAGAGCTGGGTAGACTCCTGGTGATGCATTGACCAGGGAGGCAGGAAGCTCTGTCAGAGCTTGGGCTCTGTTTCAGCTCTGGGAGGCAGTGTATACAGCCACTGTAGCAGGGCGAGATGGAGCAAAGACTTATGGGTTCTTTTCTTGGCTCTGCCTCAGTTTGCCCATCTATATAACAGGTCTGTTATCACCTGCCAGACCTGCTGTAAAGCACTGTAGGCAGCCTGCTGTGAGATGCTAGAAGGAACCAGAAGGGACAGGAGAGCTTTCTTTTCATTGGCATCTCTCATTTACATTGAGTTTAGGTGTTACTTTGAACATGAGGAGGGGGAGGCTGGCGAGGTCAGTTTAAATGCCATGCAGAAACTAGCTCCTTTTCTGTGCCCTTTCCAGTCTCTGGGTATTTCGCTCCAGGAAGGAGGATCAAAGACAGCTGCTCTATTTCAGTCGATGAATCTCTTACCTTTCTTCTTGACAGGTCCAAAGGGTCCAGGAAGGAGCTTTGCAGGCTGTGGATCTGTCTGCCCCAGTACTACTGGGTTTTCATCTGGCTGCTTTTCCTGGGGATTGCGTGCCTGGTTCTGATCCGGATTCTGGAGCTGCAGAAGCAACAGCAGGCAGTGAGCCCTAAATCCTAGCACAAAGGAGCAGGAGGAGTCTAGGATGAGAGCGACACGTGTCAGACTTGGCACTGCCAGTGCCCCTTCCCTGCTTAATTTAAAAAAAAATAAAATAATAAAAATAGCAGTAAAAGAGGGGGGTTTGATCTTGCAGGGGAAACAGCTGCCGTGTATAGGCTCTGAGTTTTGGCTGTATCGGGCGTACTGCAGGGAAAGGACCTGGTCATCCCCAGAAAGCAACAGGGTACGTCGTACCAACTAGAGCAGAGACCATCCATGTCACGAGACTTGGTTCTCAGCACAATCCTAGGTGCGATGCAACGGGGTCCCTTTAGCTGTGAGTGGATAAAAGCAAACGGGGGGCAGGGCGGGTGTTAGCACGTGCATTATGGGGTTGGGGATCTACGCCTTCTCTCCCTTCTTTGCTGTCTGTGGGCTCAGTGCTGCTGCAGTGGCTTAGACCTTTTCTCTTCCCACGGGATGCAGAGGCACGGCTCCCTTTCCCCGGCAGATGGTGCTGCTGCCTTCAGCTGTGCTGCCTGCACATGGCTCAGCAGAGCAGCAAAGGGACAAGGCCAGGGAACAGACTCATTTCCTCCCTGTTTTTCAGGGAGGGAGGAAGTGGAGGTCTCCTCTAAGCCAGGAGGCTCCTTAGAGGGGAAGAAGGAACCCAACACACCGCCTGCGGCGACAGGAAGACGCTTTAACAAACAGCGCCGATGCTTCATCACACCACTGCGGGGCTGTTACTTCCTGCTAGGCAGAGCTGCTTCTTTTAAAGGATGTAGGCTCAGGTCTGATTTGTGAAATGACCCCTTTTCGATAGAAGCAGGAAGCGCAAAGCAGCGCTGGTTCTGGGTTAATGTAGTCGGATGCTTTTTGAATTGCGCCTCTGTTGAAATGGAGCAAAAGCTGTTCCAGGACCCCCCTCCCAAGTCCATGCCTGCTCCAGGCACTGAGCGAATGGGTTGGCCCAATGTTATTTCTGTAACAGCCGTGGATGTGGCAGGTGCTTCATACCTGGTGAAGCAGGCCCCCTCCCCTGCCTGAAGGAGCTGACAGGCCAGCAATTACTGGCATAGGACTAAGAGGGGTATTTTAGAAGACCTAGCACTGAATTTGCCAGGAAATGCTCACATGTGGTCAATCCCAGGCCTGGCATTACAGACTCATCCCCTGTACTTTGCTTGCTGTGTCATGGGTGTGGTAAGGAAGAAGAAAGCCCAGGTCAGCAGATCTCCAGGCAGTTTCCCAAGTGCTCAAGCGACTGTCCACACCTGCTGGAGATCAGACCCGTCTGCTCCATGTGCGGTAGCTGCTGGCTGGGGGACGGTGTCGTGTGCTTGTCTGGAAGGGTTCACGGGGTGAGCTTTTTCCATTTGCTGTCAGTCTTTTGTTTCTCACACGTTATTTACCTTTCCGAAGGATGTGCTGAAAGGATCTGTCCCTGGGGACTAGCGTAGGCACAGCTGACTTCTGTACAAACACCACACACCTTCTTCCCAAGGGTGGCCCAAACCAACTGGCAGGCAAGGAAAAACCTCCCTTCTCACCCTGCTTGGCCCAAAGGCACGTTTGTACAACTCTCAGCCTACAATTGCAGGTGCTCCCAGAGGGGCCTTTTGAAAAGCTGGCCAAGGAGGGACCCAGGGGACTTGATGTCTTCTGCTTTCCATTGGGAAAAGTCATGTCTCTCATTAAATCTTAATAACCATAAGGAGGTGATGATGATTACAAATATTTCAGGGTGATATAAACAGTTTGCAAATGGAGGGGGCTAGTTCCTGAAACTCCAGGGAGCCTGAACTAGCTGCAGCTTAATTTAGTCTTGGCTTTTACTCCCTTGACTGTTGCCTCTGACCGTAGACTGGTAAGATGTTCAGGGCAGGCGCTGTCTCTTTTCTTTCTGAGTGTGTACAACGCAGTGGGGACCTGGCCTTTCTAGGCACTGTGAAAAGACGAATAAAATAATCATGAATGAAGGCGAGACAGAAGCTAACACGGTGGGATTTGATAACAGTCTGCAAATGCAACTGGGTTGTTAGAAAAAGAATGGCAATCAATTGTTCTCTTGTGTCCACAGGGGACAGGACAAGATCTAATGGGCTGAAATTGCAGCCAGGGTGGGTTTAGGTTGGATATTAGGAAGAATGTTCTACCTCGGGATGGTTGAGCGCTGGAAGAGGTAACCTACAGGGCTGGGAATGTGTCACTGGAACAGGTTACACAAACGCTTGTCTGGGATGGTTTAGATGCCTTAAAACCTGGGATGGGACTGGATGGCTTCCTGTGTTTTTTTTTTCTCCAGCCCTGTTTTTCTATGATAGTACAGGAGATGATGGGATTGTGGAACTGAAGAGCAAAGATGGGGAAATCAGTGGATAGAGCAGTGGCCTGGGAGCCAGGAAGCCTGAGTGCTGTGCCTGCTTGCTGGTGGCACGAGCTTGGACAAGTTGCTATATATCTCTGAGTCTCTCTTGTCCTCCCAGCCTTCAACTCCATCCTGAACAGGAGATGTTTGAGGCCCCAGGGATGGTTTGACCTCGAATAAAGCCTCACAGCACTCCTGTAAATACGGCAGTAATAAAGAGGGATGGGAGGAAGACTGGAGATGGCTCTAGGCACAGCAGGGAGCATCCAAGAAGGCAAGAACCCTGGAATAAGAGAGGGGAAGGAAATGGTTGGGGGGATTTGTGACAGAGGGGATGGGTGTGTGTGTGGGGGGTGGAGGGGCAAGATGCCTGAAGGTCTCTGATCTCTAATAACACCATGTCCTGGAGCCATGGTGGCTGTTAGACTCTGGCCCAGCTCCAGAGGGTGTGCGGGCTCCTGGAGTGACTCACTTGGGCGATGTAAGCAGTACCCTGTACATCAGCCAGCGTGACCCTGAGTCACCCCGTCCACCTCCTGTCTGGCTGGCCGTGCACCATTGTGCAGTTCCTAAGTTAGGACCCCCCTTCCCCACTCTGATTCAGCAGCGTGGGCTGCCTAAGGGCTCCAGCCGGCTAATCCCATCAGGGTCAGTAGAGCTGATCCAGGCCCTGCAGCTGTGGGGAGAGAGGTTTGAGGGATCCATGAAGAGCCGGCTTCCACGGACTCTGGGAAAGCGGGGCTGGAAGGGACCACAGGAAATTGTGGAGTCCAGCCCCTGTGCCCAGAGCATCCTGGAGCGCTGTCTGGCCAACCTGCCCTTACCACAGCAGATTGCACAACCTCCCTGGCGCGTCTGATCTGGTGTTTCGCTTTCCTAATGATTCGAAAGCTTTTCCTGTTATCCCTCTGAAACCTCTGCTGCAAAATAGACCCATTCTCCTTGTCGCTTCCCAGTGGTCATGGGGGAACAATTGATTGCTGTTCTCTTTAGAGCAACCGTCTATGTACTGGAGGCTCCCCCAGTCTTCTCTTTTCTAGGCCAAACAAGCCCAGTTTCTTCACCCTTCCCTCCAAGTTTTCTAAGCCTTTTTCTATTTTCTTCCCCTCCCTTCGACTCTATTGACGTCTTCTGTAAAGGGTGGCGCCAAGGACGGTCTTTCTGCTGGGGCCTCAGCTGTGCTGGACAGAGCAGAGCAATCCCCTTGTGTGACTTGCCCACAGCAGTTCTGGTAAAGCATCCCTGAAGGAGGTTTGCCTTTGGGGGACTTAGACACGATGGGCCCCCACGTTCAAGCACAAAGGGAAGGTCCGAAATACAGAGCACAGCCAGCAGGGAAGGATAAGTGAGGCTGGGCAACAAGGTGGTCGGCTTCCAGGGTCCTGCCTGCCTTGCTTGCCTCTCTTGGGTGATGGCTGCCACGGGCAGAAGGGTCCTTGGAGGGAAGGGTAAAAGCCCACATGGACCTGAAGGTGGTGGCAAGCCACTGGTTTTCAGATGGGAGCCGGAGCCCCACACAGCATTGTCCTGATGCTTTTCATGGTCCATGTGTCTGGTGTAGGTGGACTCCTGGCTTCTCCTGTGTCCTTTGGGACACAGAGCTCCCTGCCTCCTCTGGGTTGGGGGAGCGCTGGTGCTTTGTGCCAGCTGAGCTGGGAATTTCTGCCACTGTGTGTGTGTGTGTGTGTGTGTGTGTGTGCATATATGCATGTGTCTGTGTACATGTGCTGTGTGTCTGTGTCTGTGTGCCTGCATGTGTGTCTGTGCATATACATGTGTGTATGTGCTTGTCTGTGCATATGTATGTCTGTGTGCATGTCTGTCTCTGTATGTGCATGGCTGTGTGCCTGTGTGCTTGTCTACATGTGTGTGGATATGTCTGTGTGCATCTGTGCATATGCATGTGTCTGTGTGCCTGCATGGCTGTGTGTATGTGTGTGTGCCTGTCTGCATGTGTGCGTACATATGTCTGTTTGCATGTGCCTGTGCATGGCTGTGTGCATGTACATCTGCATATGCATGTGGGTCTGTGTGTGCATGTGTGTATGTGTGCCTGCGTGACTGCGTGCATGTGCATCTGCACACAGGCACGCGTGCCTGCATGCGTGTGCATGCCTGTCCGTGTGCACACTGGCGCATCTGTGTGCATGTGCGTGCCTGTCTCTATGCGAGCGTGTGAATTGTTCACCGAAACCCCCGCGGCAGCCCAGCCTGCTGCATCCTCCCAGGTCACTGGAGGGGGCTGAGAGCCGCCTCGGGGACGGGCCGGGGGCCGCGCACAGACCACACACGGAAGCGCTTTAAAACGAGCCTTTCGCCCCGCTTTTCGGACCGCGTGCCTGTTGGCCGGCGCAGCCCGCGCGGGGCGGGGCGGGGGCGGGGCTTGGCGCCGCCCCGGCTGCTTCCC